GTAGACGACTTCAGATGTTTCTTGCCGTGGCAGTGGGTCTTTCGGTTTCATTGTCTGACGCCTTATGGTTGCCTGCGGCCTGTGTTCGAGTCGCCACTTGGGGAACAGACAGGCCACCGCGTCACCCTACGCCAACACCGGAGGGCCAGATGGCCGAGCAATCATCACGCCCGAGTCCACCACATCTGATGAACGTTAAATAGGTCAGATCCCACATGCTGTCCAACAAACTATCCACGCGCAAGGAGGCAATTAACGTTAATTTTCGCTATGTTTGCAGTAATGACTGTATCCCATAAATATTTCAAACTCCTGTGCATGTATTACCCGTTTCTGCTACTGTTTTCTGCTTATGTCTCTGATGATGAATCCGCGACGGATCTCGAAACGTCAGGCGAATAAAAATATTGTCCCAGTGATCGAGTCGTCTTCCTCTGTGATCTGTTTGTTTAACCTGAGCAGTCATTTCAGGCTTTTGACGGCCCATACTAACCTTTACGGCATAGATCATTTAGGTTCCTATCAAAATCCTGCATGTAATGCAGACCCCAGCATTAGACGCTTTTCCTGGTCGATCTTGTCGGCCATAGGGTCTCGTTCGCTACTTTTCCTTTCCTGGTCCGAGAACACTACTGTGTATTTGAATTTAGACGTATTTTTTAATGAATCATCTTAAAGGTGCTGTTGATTTGAACCTTTAAGCCCGCTTTAAGATTCTATATAAGCCCAATTAGTGCATACTAGCAAGCAGTCGTCCCCGACAACTGCCTACCAGTTCAATGCATGTAGGCTACTCTTAATGAATTTATGGCATTTGTTAAGCACTAAGTTCATACAAATCTGTCTTGAAAGGAAAGCCGCGGGTACCGTGATTTTTGTGATTTTTGGCTAGTCAATTCTTGCACTGGTCGCAGCCAAGCCTTTAACTATACCCTTGAAATTTCCGTTATCAGCGATGATTTACGCTCTTAGATGGAAACGACCTGTCTGCTTTAAGTGCGTTCTTTCGTTAGGCACCCTGAGACTGCTAAGAATCTGTGATAGTTTATGGCCGTCCTTTTGCCATTTTAATTTTTCTTGAGTATTTATCTTACTGAGCCACTCAAAGGCCTACTGCAGAATACTGTATTTTTCCTCTATCTTCACACGCATTCCATACTCCTGGCACGTAAATGGCTCTAGGACAAAGCGACTGAAGCACATATGAAATTCAGACTTGTGTGGTTTCGCAGATGTATCAGGTGACTGATTTATTTGAGATATCATCTCAAGAAAATTGTCTAACCAGAGGAAATGCCCATTTGTACAGGAATATTATCGGCTGATAGTATTGCCGGCAAGGACAAGGGAGAATGGCATTAGCCGTCGTCAGCCAGTCATACCCACTCGAGCCTCAAACTCGCGACCTCTTTGATCAGAATCAAACGCTCTAACCATTGAGCCACGAGCTCGTTGTCTCCCTTGTTTTTGTCGGCAACAATATCTACCTATACTGGCAGCTGCTACGGTTTTCAGGGTCTCTGTCGAGGCCCAAGGCAGAGTGGGACAGGTGAGCTGCGATAGCGATCAGGTGGACGTTCGTCAATGAGAAATATTATTCAGTTTACTGCTTCATTATCTTTTTGGTTGTCATGTCTTCCCACAGCCCGACAGCCCGGTACATAATTTCCGGATCGGAGAACTGCTTCTTCTACATCTGGCGCAAGCAGGTTGACTTCCTGAATGTGTCTCGCTTCTCCACCTCGCGCAAGGACCGCAACAACTACTGGGAGTCCATCAAAGCCCACGATGCCGCGGTTACAGTGGCCATCTTTCTGCCAAACCCAGGCCTGTTGTTGGACAAGCGACTGCGTCGATGGAACTCGGCCCGTCGTCGGACTGGTGGTGACCTCAGACTGCGTTCCTACCTCGGTGACAGCAAAGCCGGTGTTGGTCCCAACTCGCGCCACATGCCATACTTCGGCGAAGTGATAGTCTCGGCGGATTCTAGGGGTTGCATCCGTGTTTTAAAGAACCGTGTTCATAAAGCCACACTGTCGTCTCAGCCGGCAG